GGGCTGCTGAGGGGCTCCCAGGGAAAGTTCTTCCCATGGGACTGAGAGCCTCCTGCCTGCAGGGACCGTGGGGACCAGACGCTGAAGAGGTTGCGCTCACCTGCACCCCAGGCAGGAGGGCTGAGAGGGTCACAGAGCCGCCAGCCTGGAGCCGTGACGTTACCCGGCCTGGACCCCAGGCTCTGGGTTACGGAGTAGAGCGCGCATCTGCCGGCTCGGGCACCGACACCAGGGGTCTGTTTCTCACAGCCCAAAGCGTCACCTGGGTACCCTCATGGACCACCAGCTATTTAAGCCAGGGTCCAGGTCCCTCCAGTCCTGGCAGGGTCCTATTCTCAGTCACGGAGACAGGATCACCCACTTGGCCACGCCACCCTCTCGAATTCTGCTTTTGCCGTTTGTGGCCAGTAGCTACCCTAATTATTCTGCCTTCGTGACCAACGCTGGTCGCACGATGATCATGTCACCTCTAGTTTCCCCCGACCACTCACAGCAAGTGTTTCTTTACGATCCCCTTACTCCTCGGGAAAAAACACCTGAGTTTTTGCAGAAAGAACTGAATTTCAAAGGATACCACCTATAAGCTTTCAACCTCAGGAGGGGAAAAACATCAGTGTTTTCTCTGAAAACGTCTAGGTTCAAAGACTTATATAAACTCTCTAGCTTGACATCAAGATCCCAAATGAATGAAAACTTGAAAGTCAAAAAAAATGTAAACCTGGGTTGCATTATATTCTGGAAACAATGATGTGGTCCAACTCCACGCCCCTGGCTGGCTGGGGCAGGCACGTGTGCGATCGCAGGAGGCCGAGACCTCAGGATTTTGTGGATATCAGCCCCTCCCTCAAAGCTGTTCAGAGGTAGGTTACATACTCACACAGAAAGCTGCCAGCAAAGTTATATAGTGGGTGTCACAGAAGCTCAAAGAATGAAGACATTAGCTGAAGACAAAGAAATGAGAGGAAGAGAAAGCCTACAAAAACATTCACACCATTAACAAACACACCCGCCAACTGTCCACTCACTGTATGAGGAACTGACACACACGCACCCCACCCCTCGCCCCGTACCAAAAAAAAGTACCTTTTAAGGCCTTTCCGAGGCTCTTCTAACAGTATCTGAGTCACTTAAGTAACTTATCTAAACTGGAGACTTCTATAGATTTACTAAGTCTAAAAGGTCACAGAATGGTTTGGCATTGCCTTTCCTCTCTGTAAATAGGTTATTTTGTTCTTTTCTCACAATATTCACCTTCTGCCAAGAATTAGGGTGGACGGATGCAGGGCTCAAGGGCAAGAGCTGTTCAGCACCACGCAGTCTGCTTGGTGACAAAGAGGACAGCCACCCTGGCATCTGCTTAAGGAGGTTACATTTGAAAGTTCTATGCAAAGCGTCCAGTGAAGCAGCTGAGAACTGGAGACTTAGAATTTGCCCAGGGATGCAAAAGTGGCTTAACACCAGACTGCCTTAGAAAGTCTGTTACCCTAACCTACCTCATTCACACGTTAAAGGAGAAAACTCATTATGATTATATAAAAACTGTAAGATTTTAGTAGATGTACAAGATCTACTGCATAGATCTTACAGATGTCTAAGATCTACAGTAGATACAGAAAAATTCAATCCCCATCCTTTTTTTAAAAACAAGCAATGAAGTTAAAACACTAATTCTTCGCAGAATACTTGCATAACTCAATAAAAGGTACATAGCCAATGCCTACCATGGATATCCTTCATGATGAAATGCTGAAAGCACTCCCTTTAAATCAAGAACAAGGCCAGGATCCCTCTACCATCACGCTTCTACTGTACACTTGGAAGGGGCCCATGGTCACCAAATTAACCATCAGCTGAGTCAGGAGGACCTAAGCGTTCCAGCTGGTCCAGCATTTATATCCTCATTAGGGTTTTGTGCTAAAAGTGCCCTGGTTTCCTTTGGGGCAAGAATCCCTACGTCTTACCATCTAAATTCACCGTTGCTGGTGGGTCAGTTAATATGCTTCGGTGGGGCTACAATAAGCTATTAGTCAGGCGAGGAGATCTGGGGTTTACTTTCCTACGTAACAGAAAAGGGCATGAAGATTAGAAGTTACAACTTCTCTGTGTACAAGCACAAAATCACAGACCTAAGATCTCAATCTGTGACATCATGCCTCACACCTTTTACCTCCAACTCATATCAAAATACTAGCTAGGACCTTTTTCATCCTACTGTCAAGTATGTGATCATTCTAATCAGCAAGCAATTAATAAAGATATGGAATATATGAATAATATAATAAACAGCTTGATTTAAAGCATATATGTTAAAAAATGCTTTTTCTTTCTCTCCAAATTAGACTCCATTTATCCTAGAAAATTCTAGACTTTACTGTCTTCATTTAGCCAAAGCTATAATAAGGGGCAAATTCATAGCTTTAAATACTTATACTATCAACCAAGAAAGGATAAATAAACTTAAATGAACAAAGAATTCTACTCAAGAAACTAAGAAGAAACCAAAGAAATATAGAAAAGGCAGGATGAAAGAACTGATAAAGATAAAAGTAGAAACAAATTAATCAGAAACAGATTAATAGGAGAATTGATAAACTAATCCAACTGGGTCTTTGTGTTCACAGAATGTGGAGTGACATACTCTATCCTCCTGAATTGGAAGATTAAATATTGTAATTATGCCAGCTCAAGTTTGTATGCATGTCAAAGTGTGCTTAACCTAGGAAAATGTCTGAAAAGACAAAGAGTAAAAACGTTAGCGGCATTTTTTTCCTCCAAGTAGTGAGATTAAAGGTAATATTTATTTTCTTCTTAAAACTTTTCTGTATTTTCTAAACCTTCTGTGGTGAATATACAACTTTTTGATCAGAAAAATAAGCTATTGTCTTAAGATGCCAAATTATTTCTCGCTGACACACGTATTTAATGTAATGCCAATGGAAATAACAAAGAGACAGATGAAGGACTGAGGGAGGACTTGCAAGAAAGTTGCCTGGGAGATCAAACATTCTGCAACAGAATAACAGAGGGGGGATTATTCCAGAGACGAAATCTCAATGCAAAGCTACAAATTACCAACCAACAGTTCACATGGGCACCTGGCTAGTACCTGTCAAGGGTACTGCTTCCACACTTTCAATAAAATGCTGTGCATTCAGAACACCATGATAAAAACTTCTAACACCGCCCACCACTCAGATCGGCCCAATGCCAGAATCAGGTTCAACTGTCAATCAGTGACAATTCTTAAGGCAGATGAAGCAGGAAAGAGAAATCTCCCTGGGGGTTCAGGGCAAATTTGTTTCTTAAAAGAGTGACAGGCTCTGACATAAGGTGGGAAGATGTTTTCAAGCTCTCTCACCAAGGGACCCCTAAACCACAGACCCAGAGCTTAGAGGAAACAGGAAATTGGAAGCCGCCTGTCCACACTTTTCCAGCACTGCTCTGTGGGTGGGCAGAATATCACACAATCGGGCTTCCCTGGTGGCACAGTGGTTGAGAATCCATCTGCCAATGCAGGGGACACGGGTTCGAGCCCTGGTCCGGGAAGATCCCTCATGCCGCAGAGCAACCGAGCCCGTGTGCCACAACTACTGAGCCTGAGCTCTAGAGCCTGCGAGCCACAACTACTGAGCCCGCATGCCACAACTGCTGAAGCCCATGTGCCTAGAGCCTGTGCTCCACCACAGGAGACGGCACCGCAATGAGAGGCCCACGCACTGCAGGAAAGATTAGCCCCCGCTCGCCACAACTAGAGAAAGCCCACGCGCAGCAACGAAGACACAATGCAGCCAAAAATGAATAAATAAATAAATTCATAAAAAAAAAAAAAAAAAAAAAAAATCAAAAAAAAAAAAAAAAAAAAAGAATATCACACAATCACCAGCAATCTTCACCACAGAACAAAGGTCCAGACTGATTAAAGGATTATTTTTAAAAATGAAGGTGGTGATCATTTATTCAATCCTGGGTTGGGGAAGATCTTTCCAAGTAAAAAGGGGAAGGGTCAAAGAAGAAATGAACACCAGATCTGAATGACCCAACAACTTGATACCAAGTGTTGGCTACGGGTCAGGGAATCCCTCTGCTGGTGGGAGCACACCTGTGTCACACTCCTGGCGGCCAATCTGGCCAAATGCATTCAAAGTCCTTAAAACAGTCATACTCTGACACAGTAAGTCAATGAGTAGGAATTTTTCCTAAGACAGAGAGATAAAAAATGATTTACACTATTGAAAGACTGGAGAAGGACAAAGAGCACTATCTGGTCTTCAACATCATGTTTCAAAAAATAGTTAATGATAACAGTTAATAGTTATTAACTATTAAACAGTTAATAGTTAATGAATAGTTAATGATTAACTAATAGTTAATAACACGCTCAGGAAACATCAGATTTTTAAAAACTTAATATACACAGGATGACTCTAAAAAAAATTTGTTTTAACTTGTGGGGCGCACACACACACACACACACACACACACACACACACACACACCTGGAAGAAAACACCAAAATAGTGGTTATAGCATTACTTGGTGGGGAAACTTGGGGTGGTTTTAATTTTCTGTTCCTAGGTGCCCAAAGCATGGTATCCGAGAGACCTGGATGCCTCTCACTCATTCCTTCAAGACTCAGCTTACTGCCACCTCTTCCAGCAAGTCCTCCGGCACTACTACCTCCTTTATCCACGTTATTCTAGGTGTTCCTCTGGGCACTGGACTCCGGGCTGTCCTCTGTGGTGCTCTTTATCCCCGCATCACCTTTATCCCTGCATCAGACTCACTATATCCCCACTACAACATTCAACTGCTGCAGCCAGAAACTGGGGTGTCTCGTTTCTGCATCCCCAGTCTGTCTGGACTCTGACAGGTCTTCAGGCTAGAATGCTGGACTATGAATGAAATTGAGTGCCTGATTCTCTGTGCCGTGGGCCTCTAAAGGCCGAGGAGGGCTGCGCTGGCAAGGATGAGCAAACGCTGGCAGAGGGAACGCCCCTTACCGTGGACAGCAGGCTTGAGACACGCTTAGCCTCGCCACGTGCCTTCAGCAGTTCCTGTCTGAGCTCCGCGCAGGACTGTTCCAGCTGGTCCTTCTCGGCTCGGGCTGCTGTCAACATTTCCTGAGCATCACAGCCCTCGGCCGTGTGCCCCGGGGGGCTGGTCTCTACGGCTTTCGGCTTCTCATTCTCCAGGTGCGCCTGCAGAGACCCGTTCTCCACCTTGAGCCCTTCCAAGGGAACCCGACACTCCTCCAGGGTCTCGGCCACGGCCCCGCTGTCGCGCTGGTCCGGCTCCAGGAAGGCGGTCCGTTCCCCGCTGTCCTCCTTCAGGAGCCGGACCGTCTCCAGAGCCCCCCGGTCCTCCCCCTCCTTCCTCGGACGGCAGGTCAGCTGCTGCTGCATGTTGAGCAGCTTCTCCCGCTCGAAGCGGCCCTGCCCCAGGATCTCCGTGCAATTCTGCTCCAGCTCCAGGATTTTTCCTTCCTGGGTGCTGAGCTCCCCACTCTTGACTCGCTCCTGCAGGAGGGTCATCAACTTCTCGTTCTCCTGACTCAGCTGCTCCGCCCTCTCCCGATGCTGATGAAAGGACGCTTCCAGGAGCGTCTTCTCGTCCGTCAGCTTCTCGTTTTCGGCCGTCAGCTCCTGCACCATCTGCTGCTGGTCCGACAGCTCCTGCAGCGTGGCCTGCAGCTCCTCGGCGGTGCTGTGGTGGCTTTCTTCCATCCTGTGGATCTTCTCCGTCAGGGACGCCAGGGACAGCTCGCGCGCAGCGTGCGGGGAGCTGCCGGCCGCTGAGCGCTTGGAGCTCTTGACGAGGCTCCCGGCGGGGGACGGGGGCCCCGGGGGGGCGTCCGCTGGGACGTGCTCGAAGTCGGAGGCGTCCGGGGACAAGGAAGCCTTGGTGACGTCGCTGCTCGAAGAGCCCGACGTCCGCAACACACCTTCGTGTGGGCTTCTTTTACACGCGTCGATTTCGCCCGACAACTCATTTCCCATCAGGCTCCCGGAGCCGGACTCCTGAGTCACCGACGTCCTGCAGCTGCTGCCCGCCGTGTGACTCGTTCCCCGCTCTGAATCTGGGGAGTGCTCAAAAGCAGTCAGTGTCTCCTTCAGGGCCCGGTTCTCCGCCTCCAGCTCGGCGAGCTCTTTCCGGAAGTGCTCGTTCTTCTCGAGGGCTCTGATCAAAGGCTCCGAGTCACCCGGCAAGACTGACGCTCCGCCCACACTTGGGTCCGAAGCGTCAGCCCCTTCGGTGTTCTGAGTCCACTTCTCCATCCATGTCTTGAGTTCACTTCGGAGCCTGTTAATTTCACCATCTTTCTCTTTGGCTTCTGCCAAGAGTTCCCGAACCTGGCACTCGAGCGCGGCCTTCTCTGCGTCTTCGTGCTCCGGCCTGGGTCTCGTGGGAGTGGCCCGCACGTGCTTGGTGGGGGTGGGCGTGCTGGAAGAGGTGGGGCTGGCTACCGCCTTCCTGGAGTTGGAGGGACCGCGTGGCACCGTTCTCTCTCTCGAGACAGCTACCGCGAGTTCTCGAGGGGTGGGAATGCCTGTCCGCTTGGCTGCTGCCACAGCCCCTGAAGAGAGAAGGAGAAACAAGTGAAACCCAGCAAGCGCCTGTATAAACAACTCCAACTACAGGGCACGGTGAGCCAGGGCGGCTGTTGCCTCCCTCCATCCCCCTCCCCTAGGGAGCCACCCGGCTCTGACTGGGGTTTCTGTACCTGTACTTTGGCAGGGAGCTGACTACAAGCTGAGCTACTCAGCATAACCCCATCCCCAGCCATGGCTGCTGGTTCAAGTCACGGCACGAGCCCCCCAGTCAAGGTCAATGAGACACAAGGAGACGCTTCCTGGGCGAGTTTCTAAAACATACTGGACACGGGTGAGCAATCGTGTGAAGTCTGGCGATGGCTGGCAACCACCATCACAAGAGGAAGGTGAGGATACAGGGTAGAAAGAAGGAAAGCGAGCTCCCAGTGGGCTGTGGAGCTGTGCACCAGTCACCCTGAGGCTGGCCCTACCCCTAGCCTTCCAATTACACAAGCCAGCAGTCACCCTCCATAAGTCACCCTGAACTGGCTTTTCTGTAACTTGCAACAGAACACATCTGAACCGAGAGTCCTGGCAACTAAACAAAATTCAGGATTGTTGTGAATTCCTAAATAAACACTCAAAAAAAAATTATCATTAACATATTTTGACTGGGCACAAATCTGATGAAGCAATTATAAGACCCAAATAATACTAAGGAGACACTGATCTGATTCAATGACCTATTATTTTTTTTTAACATCTTTATTGAGGTATAATTGCTTTACAAGACCTATTATTTTTAACCTAAGTGTGAATGCTGTGTGCATTTATATTCATAGAGAAACGAGAACCAACAGGATAAGGGCCCAGTACGTTCATCTATGGTATGGTTTTCAACGCCAAACGGATTTATATAGCATGGAAATGATTCAGGATTTAGAATACTTAAACAATGGGAAATGTAAGGTATGGAGCTGTTTGTTATTTCTCCCTGTACCACCATCGTTATTTTGTAGTCTTCATCTATATACTACGTTTTTAATTTTCACTTATACTATTTACTCTAGACAATGTCAAAAAAAATTTCTAGGGGTGAAAACCCAGACATCGATCTCCTAAATGCTCTAGAAATAAAACCCCCTTGGAGGTTAAAGTATGAAATGAAAAATCTGGACCTGTTTTACAAACTCAAAAGACATTTGATGAATCACAGCCGATCGCAGTAACTTATACATTTGCACCGTGGGTTGGAGGCCTCTGCTGTGTAGGGAGGGTTGGGAGCAGGGACGTGCCCACAGGCTGGCAGAGGCCTCGATCTTCTGAGGCAGAAGCAGAAACCACTGTGGCGAAACAGCTCTGAACCCACTGCCAAGACAGCTACTGAGACATGAGCAGCTGCATCTCCCAGCATCTCAGAATCCAAGGGGATGAAGTGGAGGCGGGTGGCGTCCTCTGCTAAGTGTCCGACGGCTGAGTGCTTTGAAAACTTTGACATGATAAAGGCTAAACTGTCATATTCATATACTGGAAAGCTATGGTTTTTAAGTTAACTTTTCCAAATTAAGTTACCAGAAAGCTAAGAGCACGATAATGCACATGTAATGCCATGTAGGTGTCCAGATGCCTCACTTGCCATCATGCTAGACAGTGATGAAGAAAAGATGTATTTAATTATTCTTGTAAAATGAAGATTAAAACCACTAAGCAATAAAACATTTTAGTAACACCAGCCCTCTGGAGTGAAGTAATCTTGGCAAGGACCATAATGAAAACTGGAGGGTAACTAAAGTTTCAACATAATTATAGTCAGAACAGGCAAAGCTGAGAGTCCAGGACTGACTGTCATAGAGGCGTCTTCCATTCCTAATAACGCCACTAAAAGTAAGGCTCCTTTTCAGCTATTTGTTGGTTTGGGAAGAACGACAGAGGACCATAGACCAACCCGGGCATCATTCCCAGCTACAGCTTCAGTCCTTCCTTTTGCCAACAAATCTTGGTCTGTTCGTCACTTGGTGTTACTTATGCCTTATCTAAACCACTAGGAATTTGCTTACATCAAACCAAAGTACATTAATGAAATGCATCCAGTTGTAGATTATGAAGCACACAGTCCAGCTATACTTTTAACACATCTGCTCCTTTTTCCGTTCTTGCCACTTCATCCCCGGAAGATCAGTATAATTTTCCCCCTGATCTTCTGAAAGCCTCTTCCCATCTCTGGACACATCTTTTCAGAAACTGTAATGAGCCAAGGTTAAGTTGAGAGGGTTGCTAAAATTCATCATCAGACCAAACTAAGGTGGGTGTCACTCCCCCACCTGTGCTCAGACACCCCGGCACTGTCACTGGCAGGGGGGCGGTGCCCCAGCTTATGATGTCATCCACCAGAAGGGTTCCTCTTCTCAGTTTTCCTTCAAGTACTGAGTTCAGAAGGTTCACCACGGAACCATCCATCCTGGGCACGCTCCCTCGCACAGGACAGCGGGGCAGGGCGACAGAAAGCGTGGCGGGAAGCCTGGGTCCAGGGACAGGGCCCGGCTCAGCTGGCGCCCTGAACCTTTCGTCTTCTTCCCCTCCTCACACCAGAGCACGGCTTACTCCTACCGAGGCTGGTGGTCCAACGGCAAGAAGTTAAAATAAAAGCAAGCTCCACCTAATGTGATAATTTTTTAAACCGCGTGTGACTGTCACATTTCACAATGCCAAATGAAAAATTGTATTAGACTGTGGTTGATCACAGGTGCATCCAACTACGTACCACAGAGACATACACGAGAAAGGAAGAGAGAACACAGAACAGGAGAGTGTTAAGCTGGTCGGACTGTGAGTAATTTTCCTGTTTCTTTTTATAGTTACATTTATGCAATAAAGAAAAAAAAGAGGAGGGAAAAATCCTATCATGCCAACACACAGAGAGAGAAGGGGGTGGGAAAAATTAATCTTTCCAGAGAACAAAAAGCACGTTGTACATAACAATAGCGCGATCATTTCAATCATCGACCAGGTTTTCAGAAGTGATTCGCAGGAGCTGAAGATATAATAGTTTCAGTCCCTCTCTGACTTCCTCATCTTACCTAAAGAACATGCTACTGGGGCTGTTCTAACGTGCACGGGTGAGGGAAACGGCGGCATTCTGAAGTAAATGATTAACCTTTGGTTTATGCACCAAGGATTCGAGGACCTGCTCTACAGGAGATACATGTGGCTCACATCGTCACACACCTGTTGCCCTGCCTCCTAAACACAAGGGGACTCACTCGTTCTGTGTCTAAAAATCTAAACTACTAGGTTAGTCTTTACTGTTAAGTCTTTTTTTTTTTTTTTTAAAGCATTGACTAATTTAATCCTCACATCCACGGTGGCATTGGTACTTTTTTGTTTTTTTAATTAATTTATTTATTTTTGCTGTGTTGGGTCTTCTTTTCTGTGCGAGGGCTTTCTCTAGTTGCGGCGAGCGGGGCCCACTCTTCATCGCAGTACGCGGGCCTCTCACTATCGCGACCTCTCTTGTTGCGGAGCACAGGCTCCAGACGCACAGGCTCAGCAGTTGTGGCTCAAGGGCCCAGCTGCTCCGCGGCATGTGGGATCTTCCTGGACCAGGGCTCGAACCCGCGTCCCCTGCATTGGCAGGCGGACTCTCAACCACTGCGCCACCAGGGAAGCCCCTACTGTTAAGTCTTCATAACCTTTTTCTCGGAAAGTTCCAATAATCTCTTCACCATCAAATCTAATCTCCCCGGGGCTCCTTGTCCCGCTCCGCTCTTGGCCGGCGGCTCACTTTTGAGAATCTTCACTCTTTTTATTCACGTTTGACACTGGCACCAAACGTTTTTCAGGTTCTCCCGTTCAAGGAACCTTGAAAACGTATTTAAAACTTCCCTCCCCCTTTCTTTTTGTAACCAACCAGTCGATCACTCAAACGTATTAACTGGTTTTGGAAAAGTCTCCATATTTTTCCTTTCCCTTCAGTATTGAACCTAGGCCAGGTCCTTGGGATGTTCCGTTGAAATTTCTGAAACGTTCTCACAGGGCTTCCTGATTCCAGCCCCTCCCACCTCTGAGATGTTCTGGATCAATAACCTTTAAATAACTCATTTTTCTGTTCCAGAATCTGTAGGTATTTCCTCTCGTCTGCTGCATCAACGTCAAACCTCTTCCCCCCCCCCACCGTGGCTTCAAGGTCACTCCAAGGTCATGCGTAATCTCTAAGCACACAGCCAACCAACGATACTCACTACTTGGGTGTTTCTGCTCTCCACCACCCCCACTGAGCTCCAGCCAGTGTCCCCAGTACACATGTGACTTGTGGTATCATCCTCTTTCCACTGGATAATTCGGACTGGCATTTAAACACACTTAATTCTCTTTAATTTAAAAGATACATGCACCCCTATGTTCACAGCAGCACTATTTACAACAGCCAAGACATGGAAACAACCTAAGTGTCCAGTGACGAATGAATGGATAAAGAAGATGTGAGATACACACACACACACACACACACACACACACACACACACACACACACTGGAATACCAGTCATAAAAAAGAATGAAATAATGCTATCTGAAACAACATGCATAGACCTAGAGATTATCATACTAAGTGAAGTAAGCCAGATAGAGAAAGAGAACTATCATACGATATCCCTTATATGTGGAATCTTTTAAAAATGATACAAATGAACTTCTTTACAAAACAGAAACAGACTCATAGACATAGAAAACAAACTTATGGTTAGCAGGGGGAAAAGGGGAGAGAGGGATAAATTAGGAGTTTGGGATTAACAGATACACACCACTGTATATAAAACAGATAAATAGGGACTTCCCTGGTGGCGCAGTGGTTAACAATCCGCCTGCCAATGTAGGGAACACGGGTTTGAGCCCTGGTCCAGGAAGATCCCACATGCCGCAGAGCTACTAAGCCTGTTCACCACAACTACTCAGCCAGTGCTCTAGAGCCCGTGTGCCACAACTACTGAAGACCGAGCGCTTAGAGCCTGTGCTCTATAACAAGAGAAGCCACCGCAATGAGAAGC